AACTTCCTTGCTTTCTACAGGATCAGAGAAGATTAACTCATAACAGAATTTCATGAGCTCGAAAAGGTTTCCCTCAGAAAACATGCAGATGTGAGAGGGGGAAAAAGAATTCACTTTCCTTGGTATTTATGCCACCCTTTATGTTCTAGACTTGTAATATGTTAATATACACAGGTTTTTATACACCCTAATTATGCAGGTTCTAGAAATTTTTATCCTATATAGCTTTTTCAATGACCTAAGACAGTTTGTCCCAATATTTTTGCAATACAAAGCTAAAAAGAGGTGAAGAGTCCATCATTAACTTTCACTGTACAGGATCCCTTATGGATTTTACACTGTTCTGGGATGTCTGTGCAAACCCAGTGACATTTCCTCTTCTAGTTAAGTGTTGCTTTCCTGGGAAGCTGTAATAATAGGGATTTTTAACTTTTCTTTAGTATGTAAGGCTACACAGGCCAATTGTGCTTTACTGAGATAATGTCATTGGCAGCCAAAAGGGGATACCACTGTCAGTCAGTCCCCTCTACCTCAATTAATATCTGTAATATAAATTCTGGCATTGTGTTGAACCTTTCCATTGCTCCTTTTTTATTTTTTCCTAGCAGACAACAGGCAGCTTTACTCCCAGTAATTGCTGTAACTCTTTAAATAAGTGATAAAATCACTGCATGTCTTCAGGAATTGCTTCTCTCAGAATGTCTTATGGACTGAAAGCCAGTTGTCTTAGCAACTAGTTAGGCTCTGGGATAGATAAGCAAGTGCTTCTAAGTGTCAGATAATGAAGCCAGACACTGCAAATATGTTTTTTTCTTTGACTAATGTCCGATGTGGAAATTGGTTTCCACTGTCCATCCCAACTACGGAGATGTTATTTGATTGCAGGCAGTGGATGATCATGATCAGCTTTGCAAAAATGACCCACCCTTTCCCAGTGGGTACATAGAGCCCAGCATCTGCAGCAGCCCCCTGCTTTATCCTGTCTCCAGGAAAAAAGTTTTTATAGGGGTTTTCAAAGGATGTCTTTGAGTCCAGAGGTCTCTCAAAGGAGCAGTTATGTATTAACTACTTGAAGCCATAATGGGCTAGCAGTCTCCTTGAAACCCACTGAGGGTTTTATTTTCTTCCCTGACTCATTTCTGCAGTATTCCATTTCCTTTGAGGAATTTTTCAGGGAAATACAGGATAATGCCCTGGGGCAAGACTTTTGAGCTGACAAGTGATAATTTGGTTTCTTTTTTTTTGGGACAAGCTGAGTGACATTTGTTACTTTAGAAGGCTGTGCTGTTCACCAAGACAAACCCTTCAAACTTTGCCTGCTCTTCTTCCTTGCTTCCAGCACAAACAGAAGAGTGATAAATGCCTACAAAAGATATGTGTGGGGAACTGAACTTACACTAAGATTAATTCTGAAAGCTCATTGTCTTCTTCCTTCTGTATCCTATTAATTTGCTGCAGACTTTTGTGACACTTGCTTTTTAGAGAAGCTGTCTCATACTGCATTAACTAGAGAAGAAACTCCCATGAACATCTTCGTTTTTGTTACTGAACTCTTTCCCAATATTCATTAAGAGTCTGAACAGGATTCCTCTTTCTTCTTTAAAGACAAATGAGCAAAAAACAAGCAAAAATCTCTCTCCCTCAACAAACAGATTTAGGAGATATACTTCTTACTCCTACAAGCCAAGTAAATATTGCTTCATTTTCTGAGGAAAAAAGCTGTTTTTTCTTAGACCATAATCTCATGGTTTCTGTGACCTTCAATACAATGGGGGGACTAACTAACACCCCTATTCCCACTGCACTGGTGATTCACTGTATTAGCTCACCTTTGATTCAAATGTCTAAACAGAATATGCACACATTGTTTTTTACTGGCTCTTGGTTTAGAATAAATTGAAAGGCAACCAAACACCTGGAAAGCCAAACACGTAATTGGGGAGTGACTACCCTTGAGGATCTTGCCACCCAAGGATACCATACCAGGATGCATAAGTGTAAGGCTACTGCAATAGTTATTTTTCTGTTTTTCTGGGACTGCTTTTTGTATTATGGTTGCTGGAACAAGAGCTAAAGAGCACTACAGACATAGGTGATCTGTGCATTGAATTTTCCCAAGACATCAGGTTGGCAGGTGGTTTAAAGCACCTCATGGTGCATCACAGGTTCCCTAGAGACACTGGACAACTCATGTCCCATCTCCTTTTCACAGTCCCCTTATCTGTGATAAGAGGGTGATAACTCCTTATTTACTTCTGGGCAGTACCATGAGACTGAATGCCCAGCAAGTGCCTGTCATTCATCTGGTGTGGGATAGCACAGAATGCAAGGTGACAAAAGAGAGGGAGCTCCTAACCCAACAACACACCTTACAGAGATGCTCTTCATCCCAACCACACTTACCATCAGTGACCAACACACAGCCACACTCAGTCTTTGCTATTTCTCTTGGAAATGTGTTCCCTAAACCTATGGGATCTGACTTCTGCTTTTCAGGTGGCTCCACCACTTTCTCTTTTTTTCTTCAGCATTATTAGTTCTCATGTTGCTTCAGCATGTCCAAAAGTGTCTGGGACCCTTGAGAGGGCTTACTCTGTGGACACAGATGTTTGTAATAACTGCACATATTTTCATATTTTTCAAGCAACAAAAGAGAACCATGTGTTTGTTGTTGAGGATACTGTAGCTAGGGACATGAGGCTGGGACCGTAGTAAAAAGCTCACGTGTTTTGTTTACAGCAAAATCTGTTTGTCCTGTCCAAATGCCAGGACTTGTCTCTTCTGACTGGTACAAAATAATATTGCAGGCTGCCCATCCCTTAGCTCTGTTTTGCTTGCAGCATCTCCACTGGCCAGCAATCATTAAAAACGATGGGGCTGGTTGAAGGTTTTTAATTCCATATCCATTTTCTCACTGAAACAGACCACCATACACTCCCCATATGTGAACATGGAATCCATTCATCACCATTGCTGCTTCTTTTTCTTCCAGAAAGTGTATCAATCTGTGCACATGGATTGGGCAACAACACAAAAATGGGAGGACAGAAGGAGTTATGCCTATATCCTCAATTTGAAAAATTTTCTTTGCCCTGCTTTAACTAAGATTTAAACTACTGAGGAAATGAAAGACTATGCTATATTTTGCTTGTGTGACTGCCTTGACTGTCTCAGTGGATACGGATAGATGACAGAAAGATAAAGAGAGGTAGAGTTAGAGAAATCAACAGGTCCAGCAAAGTAACAAAAGAATTTACTGTACTTGTTCATTTTTGCTGATCAAACAGAACAATGATCCCAAAGCATCCTTTTGTTTACTGCACCCTATTGCTTTCTTTAGTTCCTGAGAGGCAACATCTCTAGAAAACAATAAAATTCATAATGGGAAATACAAGGCAAAGAAAAACATATAGGATAGTGGGGGCTTTTTGTACAGTACTGGTTATCTTTAGGCATGCAATTGTTCAGCAATAAATGCTACTCCATTGAAGTGATAAGCTCACCATACCATGTTATTTATGTATTCATACCATAATCAGTTGGTTTTTCTTGAATCTCAGACATTTTCCACCGCCCCACAAACTTGTTTGAGTGATATTTAATCATTGAGGAAAGTGTCATGCAGTGGTTAAATACTGTCATTCCCTGAGTATTTATTTACTTTTCATACTACAAGCCCTTGAACAGCATGGAACTGCCTCTGGCCTGATGAGAACTCCCAGCAGAGTCAGGATTTTTTTTTCTTTGATTTCTGGACACAGAGGATTTGGACATGAGGGTCAGGATTATAAAGTAGACTTTGCTATGGCTCACAGGAGTCATCTGGGAGAGTTGAGGCAGTCCTGTGACTGAGATTTCCAGAAGTATGCAGTACCAATTAACTCCATGGGTTCGGCTCCCTCAAGCCCACAGAAAGTCCCAGCTCATGGCTTGCAGCAGTGAGTTTGAAGCAGACCCATCTGTGCAGGAGCACTCTCTAGCAGATAGAACATGCTTTTACAACAAATTTGTAAAAAAAAAAAAAAAAAAAGCAAACATGCTGAGGGAGAATCAATAAAAATCTTCCCAGAAGGAATTAAAAGCCACTATCAAAATCACTCACTCTTAAAGCCAAAATCAGAGAGCTGGACTGTATTTCTGATAAACCCTGTCATGGCCACATTAGGGGAGATATCAATGCTTCATGGGCACTGGAGTTCATCCGGAATGAGGAAGCAAGAAATTTGGGCTGCAGTTCCCATGACCTGTCACAGCTGTGTAGAAGCTGGAAAACGTTGAAATTATTTCAAATTATTTTAGACTTTTAAAAAATTTTCCCATGATATCCCTCCAGAGAATGAGCCTGAGTTTTTGCATGGTGATTGTCTTGCACAAATGTGAGTTCTGGCTGCAATTACAAATGCATTTCACAGAAGATATTTTAATGTTGGCTTTGTGCACCTAATATGCCTAGCTTTGCACATTGATATTTAGCACAGCTGAAGGTAAATGCAGCCTCACAATGTCCTCTGCCCAGTTTTGTCTCAGAACCTTGCAAAACCAGAATTGCACACAATTTTACCCTGGGTGGGTTTTGATCCGGTTTTGATCTACTGCACTAGTGATGTTCAAGATACTGCACTGAGTGAAATAATGAAGTTAAGTTCTTAAATCCATGGGACAACCTCACAATGAATAAACATGGTCATAATTCAATAGAGTTGTACAGACTTTCATACCACAGCGTAGCAAAGGGCTCCATTTTATGATCTAATAAACTGTGTAAGAGGGAGCTGCAGAATATACACAAAATCCCTGGCATTTGCTTCCCTGTCTCCCTCCTTACCCTTTTGACTAATTTCTTGCAGCATAACTAAACATATTTTTTCTTTTCCTTTCCTTTGCAGATATATCCAGACCTTCCACAGCCAGACAGAACAGATAACGCTTTTAGACTGGCTCCAGAAGACTCAGACTGTGTTTGACTACCACCCTTTTGCATAAATATTTTGGGATTCAAGATGAATAAGACAAGGGCTGTTAATGATGTTTTTCATTTCCTGATCAGCAAGAACTGGAGCTCAAGCCGAAGCTTTCCTATGAACATTTCTAATCAGTGCATGAACATCACTGACCTTACTGTCTTTCTGGCCACCTCCTACAGCTTGGAGACTGTTCTGGGCATTGTGGGAAACATCTGTCTGATTGCTGTCATTGCCAGGCAGAAGGAAAAGGCAAATGTCACCAATATCCTAATTTCCAACTTAATAATTTCAGACTTGTTTATGTGTCTCGTCTGCCTGCCTTTCACCGTCGTTTACACTATGATGGACTACTGGATATTTGGAGAAGTCATGTGCAAAATGACCTCTTTCACTCAGTGCACAACTGTGACAGTGTCAATCCTTTCCCTTGTCCTTATTGCTCTGGAAAGACACCAGCTCATCATAAACCCAACTGGCTGGAGGCCAAATACCTCCCAAGCCTACCTAGGAATTGGAGTGATTTGGACTTTAGCATGTCTCATGTCCCTACCCTTTCTGACCACATCCATCTTGTCTAACGAGTTGTATGAGCAGCTCTCACACTTCATGAATTTTTCCACTGATAAGGCAATATGTATCAACTCGTGGCCTTCTGAGCAACACAAACTTATCTACACTACCACTTTACTGCTCTTGCAATATTGCATCCCTCTGTTCTTCATCATCCTTTGCTACCTGCGAATCTACTTACGCCTGCAGAAGAGGAAGGACATGTTTGAGAAGAGCGAGTACAGCAACCGAGCGGTCCAGCTGAGAAGGATAAACATCTTGCTAGCATCCATGGTTGCTGCTTTTGCTGTTTGCTGGCTACCACTGCATGTTTTCAACACCATTGTGGACTGGAATTACAAAATCATTTCGCCTTGCCACCACAACCTGATCTTCTCATTGTGCCACCTGGTAGCTATGGCTTCTACCTGTGTCAACCCTGTTATCTATGGTTTCCTAAACAGCAACTTCAAAAAAGAAGTGAAGTCACTGATTCTAAGCTGCCAGCATAATTCAGTAACTGCCTCAATGGAAGAATATGATCATTTGCCTTTATCCACCATGCAGACTGAAATTTCCAAGGGGTCACTGATGTTGAACTGTAGGCACAATTCTATCTAAGGAGCAGAAAACATTTCAGAAGGGTGCACTGACACCACACACCAACTATTACCTGTGGGTATATAAAGCAACTGGTGATGCCACAGCTGGGATGTGAACAGGAAGCCATCACTACCTGATTTTTGGAAGAACAAGCAAAGTTATGTTGTAAATGTTCACAGTTGCTGCTGTGGTGCACAAGCTTTTCGTGTCACTGAGGTGGTAAGGACACTGAGGAGACTGGGCTGCTGTAAAGCAGCTGCTCTAAGATCAGTGACTAAGCTGTGACTGCACGGAGGCTGACATGGGTTCATCAGCAAAACTCATATCTCTACCATGGCTGCAGTAGAAAACCAGATTTCCAGTTTCATCACTGCAGGCTGCCAAAAGTTGTGTTGGAAGACTCTCTCAGTTTTCCAGTATTAGTAAGATTTTTATGCACAGGCGACACACTAGTGGAACAGAGATATGTAAATATCAATTTTTTTTTTGCCACCTCTCACAGCGCATTAAGTAACAGTAATCTTTCACATCTTCACATAAAACACTGCCTGTTTCTATAAAACTTCACTCTCTGCCATAGGCTTGAGAACAGTCGTTGCCTCTGCAAGCAGGGACAAGGAACAATGACCCTGGTATGTAAAGAAGACAGTCACTTACAAAGGATAGCAGCAAATGAAAATGCTATTTGATGGATTAAACTCAAAATGCATTGAGATGATACTGAGAACTGTTTTTAAGCACATGATAAACAGTTGTAGATCTATATGGAAATGAGTCAGTTCCTGCTGCTGTCAGTCACCAAGCTCTGCAATGCTACAGCTTCATGCCATGATGGCACAAGATGGCCAGATTACAGGAGTTGTTCTAGGACTTGGTAGCAACATGACAATCTGCTTCAGCATCTTCTTGGTACTGTAATTGCAAAGTACCTAATTCAGAAGGTCAGAATGAGCATGAAAACCTGTTTGTGGAAACCATGTGTTTCCAGAGTGGCTACACTTCTAAAGAAATAAACATGTGCATGGAGAATTTGAGTTTTCTTAAAAAATAAAACCTGATGTCAGATATCAGTCACACTCACTGGCATCAGCAGCACAGGTGAAGCTGAAATTCCAACAAATCAAGAGAAGGTCAATGAAAATACACAGGTGGAACCCAGGTCAGGCTAAAGCCAAGCCACATAGGTAGTACTGTCAATTGCTCTAGTAAAGTGATGGTCATATTATTTTCACAACTGTGTTATTTGTAGCCTTTGTTCATGAAACTACAAACTATAAACTCTTTTTAACCTCTGGAGCCAGAGAAATCGCTCAGTGACTACTGAGAAACCAAGGCATGCCCAAGAAGGCCATACTGAGGTACAGATTTAAAAAAAAAACAAAACAGGTAGCAAGTGCAAAAAGGAGACCAACCAGTTCAATGCTAATGAAATATTGAAGCATATTCTATCCTGATTTGCTAAACTAACCTTAGCAGAAGACCAGACTGGGTGGTCAGCTGAGGTAATTTCCAACACAAAATATGCTTTAATAAGCAATGATTACTTGTTGCAGTCAATAGGTTTGCATGGAGCTGGAGATATCCAGTGTATAGTTATGCAAGCAACTAGAAATTCCTTAGCTGGCAGATCTCTGATCAGACCAATTGGTATAAAGACAGGTGAGGTAAAGTCTTGTTCCAATGCTGTGAACTGACAGGAATATGGATGCTGAGCAGAGTATCTGAGGACAAGAGCTAACCCCTGTGTTATAAGGCAGCAAGAGCTATCCTATCCCCAGGTGGCAGAAGTAAAAGTTAACCCTTGCCATGAGCTGGGTGCACAGATTTCAGTTGTAAAACTTGAAGTTTGGCCTTGAATTCTCGTGTGCAGAATCTTACGGCAGGACCTTTTTTGATACAGCCACCCCTGTAATTCTGGCCAGAACCTGTATATCTTAGTAAGAGACTTGGTGTGTGATTACCTTTTGTATCTTTCTCAACTATGTGGCAAGATATTTTTGCTTTTTTCAAATGGATTCCAGCTTTCTTTTATTTTCTTTATTACTTGCTATGCTATGCTGAGAAGTTGTTTCTCTTGATTAGTTTGCATGCAATGTGATTTCTAGAGTGGGCGTTGAGTCTACTAAAAACACAGAACAAGAGGACTCATATCAGCTGCATCTTGAAATTTGCTGCTGTAGCCAAAACCACCATGGGATGCTGAGTAGCACAAAACACAGCAGCTCCTCCTAATCAGTGTGAGTTATATCAAAACTGTGCTGTATTACTTCAGGGCTTAAATACTGTTTCAACTTTGCCATGGTTTTGCATTTAGAATCAATTTAAGTAATTGAGTAATTCTGCCTGTTTTTCGCACTTGTTAGAATTCCAGCATTTAATCAGCTAAAGTGTCTGTAAAGCTATTGTAAGAATCCTCTGCCAAACACAAACACAGAAAATTACCTGATACGTGGTCTTAAGTATACAACTTTTCAAGCAGCCAGTGTCTTAAATGGAAACACAATTACCTTTAGCATTTGCACTTCCACGAGCCTGTCTTTGTCACTAGCTCTAAGTGAAAACTTTTGGTAAAGTGCTTATAGTACAGCAGAGACCTGCCACTAGAGCTGTGCACTGGCATTGTGCATCAGATCCGAGTTCTCCCTGCAAAGGGCAGAAATATGAGGGAGATCTGACACTGTTTAACTGTAATTCACGTGGCCATTTGTTTCCATGAACACAAGTAGATACATAAAGCAGGCAGATCCAACTTTACAATAACACAGACAAACACAAACGGATGTTATCTTCCGCTCGTGATTAAGCAAAGTGTCAAGTTTTGAGTCAACTACTGTTTATTGCTAACTGACTTTGGACTGGATAAACTACAGGATTTAAACACTAAAAGGCACCAAACTGCACCCATACTTCTAACTGCAAAAATGCAGACCCTCAGAACTCCCAACCAGCTGCAGTCTATCCATCTACTTACTATCCTGAGATACATGTTTTTCAACCTCTAAAATTTCCTAAGTAACTAAATAAACTTTAAAGAAAACACAGAAAAATAAATAGATCTAGGTACCAAAGGACTGAATATGTGACAGGAAAGGTGCCTGTACCAATTCTTCATTCTATGCATACACCAAGGCTTATGCTGCTGTGCACAAATGCAGTAGAGATAATACCCTGTTAGTTTTTTAAGTACTTTTGTAGCAACTGTTCCCTCTGAAGGCAAAGTCACAAGGCTAGGTGAAATTATGCCTGCATAATTGAAAGAGCCATTTTATTTGTCACTTTGGGGCTTTATGCATCCAAGGGAGGCTAGGTTTCTTTGGTCCCAGCAGAAGGCAACAGAACAGAAGTAGCTTACATACCTCTTATCCATCTGTAAATAACAGATACTGTTAATATGTAAGAAGCACTGAGCATTTTTGTGTTCATTGTATGCAGTGATGGTTTTGGGTATACTCTCTAAAGTTCTGCTACTGAGTCACAAAAGCAACGATGGAGAAATAGGCAGGAGTTGTGCAAATCATGAGTTCCTACAATTTTAAGACCTTACACTGCCTTTTTTAAAAAAAAAAGTTTTTCATAATCTTGCCTCTTGTGACCCATTATAAGAAGACAGTAAGGTTTTCAGAGCAAGAGAACAACTTATTCTGTGATATAAATAGCACACTACAGGAATCTTATAATAACAAATAAAGTAATATTGTCTGTGTCACTTCTCTGTGCCTGCTTCTGTAAAATGATGTAATACTCTTCATTGTATAAAATACTTAAGGTTTAGTCCTCAGCTAGTGTTTATCAAGAGAAAACAAATGTATGGTGTAATAAGACCCACTGATGTATGAAGGATTTGACACATTATTCCAATGGACAATGGTGCAGTGCAGCCAACAAGGGAGGACAGGCAAGTACCAAAAATTCAGCATGGAACATTGGAATACTCTGATGCCAGAACTCAAATCATCTTCACAGACTTTTCAGATTGCACAAGAAGCTGAGTCCTCTATGGCACAGTGTCCTGAACCCCAACCAGAACCACAGCCAGAAAGTAACTGACACTGCTGGGATGAAAATCAGTGTGGGATATTCAACAAAATTTTACTGAACTTCATAAAATGCTTTGACTGGGTTAAAAGTATTGGTAAATTTCTCTGACTGGGTTACCGGGCTTGACAGAAAGTAAACCAAGGTATCAGAAATGACTGCAGTTTGTGCTATAACCATGTGTGGTTTATTACACTTGCACACACAAGGGAAGAGTGCAATAGTAGGGTTTGCCTGGACTGGTGGTGTGTGGCATGAGCTGCCACAGGGGTTGGCAGCAATGCTGTGGCAGCCATCAGTCACATCTGCAGCGTGGGTTTGCTGTGTGCAAACACACTGCACACACATCTGAGGACTGGCACTGGGTGAGAGGTTATTGTGAAATAAGATGTCATACCCTGAGGACCACTTCAGAGATCCTTTTGCTTTGACCCAAGGGTCTTCTCACAGGATCACTTGGCATTTCATTTTATAGGCCATTCTTTTTGAGTTTCTTATCAATCAAACACTGGCCTGATTTTCATACCTGTGTTGACTCCAATGTAAATTGCTGATGCTTAGTATGATGTGTCATCTGGGTTTATATTATATGAGTATCAAAATCCACAGAGCTTTTATGCTCTTTCCTCCCTTTCTCAGTTTGCTCCATAAAGTCACTTATTTGAACTCAGGAAGTCGTAAGTAGAATAAGCCTGAGATTTATACTTCTATACTATGCCTTTCCTGCCAGATCATGCTCATTAGGCCTTAGTGAGAATTGTTTTGTTCTCCTTCCAATAAATGCTTATATAAAGCCCAGCAGCAGCACAGAGATTTTAGGATGGAAACCTGTGTTGAAATTCAGTTCCAGAGATGTCTACCTTTTGTTTTTTCTTTATAGAACTTTAGTTGATGGCACCCACCATCCCTTTGTAAAACAATATTCAGTTAAATAGTGATATAGTATTCATCACATATAATAGGAAGTATTTTGTTCAATAGAA